CTGATTCCACAATGGAGTGGGTTCTAACATTGATCTTTCTGGAATCCAATTTTAATGTCTGGTCCATACTAAAAAATAGATGTTTTTAAGACATGCATGTTACTGTTTCTGGAGTATTAAGCTGATTTGGCATCTAAATTAACCAGAGGAGAGGCATGTGAATCCAAAGATTTTCCAAAACCTCTTCTCTAACTGAGGGCTAAGGGCGTATGACATTTTCTAACTAATTTTTAGCTACATGTTCTCTATTCGCAAATTTGCTTAGTAATGTACTCACTTTTTTGGATAGTAAAAGAGCAACAACAATGTTCCTTAACAAAAAATAGTACACATCATACCAGTATCTCTTCTGCAATTTCTAGTTTGACTTCTTCCTTTATATCCTTCCAACTGTTTACTCCAATTAGTGGGGCCCATTGCCTTGTAAATAAAACGACCTCATCGACAAATGCACAGGTATTCGGTCCAATGGGTCCTCCACGGCTTTATGAAAATTCGATTGGGAGTTTGTGAATGCGTTCCTTAACTCTCTTGTTGCCTACTATTAATCCTTTAACAGTGCCACAACCTCTTTTCTTGCGTTCATTGGAGCCATGTCCTTGCAAAAAAGACAATAACAATCTTGAGCTGTAGTAGTTCTCAATTAAGATATGTGAACCCAATATTAAAAGTACATGCATTATCACAAACCGTTTCCCTCATCTCTTGCCTTCCTTGCATGGCTTGGCCTATTTGAGGGTGGTGTCGCATTGCTTCCATTGCTTTCGTCGTCTTCGTCTACGATTGCATCGGTGTCACGTTGCTCGACAAATGCCACTACACACAAGGTTAAAGGTTTAGTTTTAAAAAAATTAGTACTAAACAACATTGGTTGAAGAAGGAAAATAAATTACTAATTTTTGGAATGTCCCCTTTCATCCTTAAAAATTCCTTGTACGTGTTGACTGCTTGTTGCCTAGTGTCATCCTTCAAATATGTTAGTCACCAAAAAAATGTAAGATGAGGTGTAGTTTATATAAAGGTGCTAAGATTTTTCTTAATACGAAAACATATGCAAAAACATAGATGACATACTTTTGGATTGTTCCGGTCGTAGCTTCTTTAGCTAGTCCTTGTATGCATCAAAAGGATCATCCATAAACGGATGCTCATCTTCTTCCAGCTGCTGCCTTGGTCGCTTGAGGGGTGTTATGCTGACTTGCTGTGCTGTCTCTTGTTCCTTTGAGAGTACTAATCTGATTTCCTTCTCACCCTCATTGTCTTGTAGCATAATCTCTGCATGTCTGACAAAATCGAGGGACTGAAGACTTGCAACATCTCTTCCACAACACTTCTTGTAGTACAAGAAGTCTCGGGCATTATACCCAAGCTGGTCCTTAAGAGATGTCAAGGTTGACAATTTTATATGAGGCCTTTCCAATTTGAACATTACATAATCCTGATGTGGAAGTCCATTCTTGCAATGAGCATAAAGAGTCCACATTTTGCCCATGCCACTGCATAAATAGGACAATGGTTGATAAATAAACAAGAATAAAAAAGGTAAAGTATTACATATATATAAGTAATTGAACTAAATATCATTGAATTCAGGATTCTATTTTAGATGGTTTTTGTAATCCCATTATAGAGCAGGCACATGCAACATGAGAAATTCAATGCCTGATGCAGAAAAAGGTTAACTACATCCATACATTTTTGTGTAGTTAAACATTGATATTTAAGCATAGAAAACGATCTCAGACTTTGTATTCCTGAATTGAAACAGATGGGTTTACTTTCTATAATTTTAGACAAGCAAAACAAATACCGAGCAAGTAATTGCCTTTTCTTAAACATCTTTTTTTTATCATGACCAAAATATGCAAGCAGCAAATGCTTGAGAACCCTAAACCCCTCACAATTTGTAGAATTTGCTATGATGCGAGATTAAATATGAATCAAAAAACCTAGATTAAGTAATCATTGTACCTGGGGACATATGGAGAAGAGAACCCAAGATCATCTTCTACTTCGAGGGTGGCCTCAGTATATCGATGGCTATGGGTACCCAAGGCGGTGGAGTCTGTGCTGGCGCTGATGCCCTGTGAACAAGCGTCGTCCTGCCTAAAGGCGTTGCTAGTGGCGTCCTCAACGGAGGCGATGTCGGGGGCGTCCTGGACTGAGGTGGCGTAGGCGGCGGCGTCATGGCCCTCACACGGTCCTGGGAGACGGATCGTGATCTAATTGGGGGAGGGGGAGGGATACGCGCGGTCTGGAGACTGGAGACGGGAGACGGATCACGATCTCAGAGCAGCCGCTCAGCATGCCCTGTGAAAAAGAGATCGATAAATCAACAAACAACAAGTGGCCACAATCGACTTGGTTGATTTCTCACTCTGTAGACCGGGCAGATGGGAGAGGGAGGGGTTGATAGGAAGGGGAGGGGATCTGGGCAACTCAGGAAGGCAGATGGGAGACGGGGGAAGGGAGGAGGGTATGTCAATGGGGAAGGGTCTTACTTGGATGGGGGATGGCTTCCTGCTGCCATGCTGGTGCTGTGCGTCGCAGCTTGCTGCTTTCCTTCGTGGAGATTCAAGAGGTCCGTCGCGGAGGGGCCGGGGCGTGCAGGGACGTCGTGGAACGGCAAGGTAGGGGCGTCGCAGAGGGGCCACAGCAGGGGGCGTGGGGGAGGGGAGTCATAGAGGCCAGAGGGGCGGCAATAGGCGATTGGTGGTGGACGAGGGAGGAGGCGGATGGGGAAGTGGTGGAGGAAATTTAGTAAACCGAAGGACCGGCAGGGGATTTGAACGGAGAAGGCCACCGCTGGCGGATTTGGCTCAGGGAGATTGGGCGGGTGCGAAAAGTTTTAGGCGCGGCAGTTGAAGATTTTTGTGGAGATTTTCGACCTCAGCGCGAGGAGATACAGGCGGGAGAGGAGCGATTTTTTTGGTATGCCAAACAAAAGGAGGCACGCTCACACACAAGAGGACTTGCAAGACATGCCTGAAGAAATTGAAAAAAAATGACGTTTGGTGTTATATGATTATATCAGTTGTTCTTTTTATTTAATGCTAAATTTACTTGCTCTTTTCTAGTTATGCAAACTTAGCAGAAAAAATACAACCAGACAAGAATGTCTCTTTGAAATTGCCAAATGCAAAAAATACAATCATGAACCGGTACAAGCACATGTACGAGTACACTCACATTGGCATGAGAAGATTATTATTTATTATAGTCTATGGATTTGTTTGCGATGCAATGTCATAGCAAGCTTAACGAGCCGAGTCAAAATTAAAAAATCATTCAAAATTAGCTAAATTTGATTTTGTAAGAAAAACGAATATAATCAGAGCATTTTTGTAAGAAGCCACTAAGCAACTCAACAAGCTTTTTGTCCAGACTATAGGTGTTTTTATTTCTACACCGGAAACAATGTTTATACTTATGTTATAAGTAAAAAGAAAATTATAAATTTGTGACAGAACATATGGCAAGATCAAAACTCTGTTAACCCCTTTTTCTTTTTCTTAAACAGTGATCCATTAGAAAGCTTCTTATCTTACGTATTGTTGTGAAGCTATTACACCCTCCTGTAAAATGTTCAATGAGTCATGTTCCCATGTTCATCTTCTAGTTCGAGGGTGGCTTCAATATATCGATGGGCGCCCAAGGCGGTGGCGTTGTTGCTGGCGCTCATGCCCTGAGGAGGAAGCGATGTCCTGGCTGGAGGCGACGTGCCACTCAATGGATAAGACATAGGCAGTGACATGCCACTCAATGGATGAGACATAGGCAATGACGTGCCCCTATGATCATGATGAGGCACTCGGTGGCATACGACATCGCACTTGGTAGCATATGACATGGCACTCGAGAGGATGAGACTACATATCAAGTTGTTGTTCGACGTGGCATCCTAGCTACATATGACGCAACATCTACCTAACATAGTCAAAGATGTGGCACTCGTTGGACACGATGAGGTAGGCACTCAATGGCATAAGATATAGAACTTGAAAGGTCCAGAACACATATCTAGTTGACCTGGCACACTGAGTACTACACCACAACAATGTTAGACATGGAATGAAATGAGACAAATTGTGACTAGTTGGAGACGATGAGCTAGGCACTCGATGGCATAAGACAGCTCTCGAAAGGAGCATATCACATATCTAGGCGATGTGGCACGCTCGGTACGACATCAATGACATAGGAAGACAGGCAAAACGACATGCCACTAAATGGAATATGATTCGTAGTTACTAGTTGGACAGGATACAAATATGTTTTAAAAAAAATAAATTCAGTTGCAATGATTAGCATAGAATTAGAAAAAAAGGAGTTTGATACTTATTTACTAGTTGGACATGATAGAAATATGTTTTTTTAAAAAATAAAGTCAGTAGGAATGATTATAATAGAATTAGGAAAAAGATGGAATATGATATTTAGTTACTAGCTGGACACGATAGAAATATGTTTTAAAAAAATTAAGTTGGAACGATTAGCATAGAATTAGAAAACAAAAAAGTTGGTACTTCAGTGGGCCAGCGGCCGCGCCAAGCTCAACCCCTATGGGGAGCCCAGCAAAGCTACCGACCTCAACTAGCCCAGAAGGGTAACAATTTCCGAATAGCGCTTGATATGAGAAGTTCAGTGTGGTTTGGTGGCTTCAGCTTTTAAGCTGAGTGTTGCCTCTCTGAATTGGCGAGGTGGCACTAAAGAACCAAGCTTTGGCAACAGAAGTGGAACAATCAACACACTTTGTTAACGGGTCGGCCCAGAAGTGGAACAAACGCGGCCGCCTCGCCCTCTCCTACTTCTCCTCCTCTCCCTTCTTCCCCACCCCGCCGCCACTTTCCCCCAACTCTTCACCACCGAGGCGCCGCCGCATACAAGGCGAAGCGGCACCAGAAGGAGAAGGAGAAGGAGAGAAGAGAGAGTCCTCCCCACCCGTGCCCGTCGGAGCAAGCATAATCCGTAGCGAGCGGAGAGGAGGGAGCTGAGCGAGGATGCCGACGGTCACCTGCAACGCGTGCAACGCGGGGTTCGACGATGAGGAGCAGCAGCGGCTCCACTACCGCTCCGAATGGCACCACTACAACCTCAAGCACAAGGTAACGTCGCGCCCCCGCCGCAGCCGACCTTCTGTCGCTAGAACCCTAGGTATTAGGTTTATTGGTTTGTGCGGCCTGCTTTGGGGACTAGAATGACAGGAATTGAGAATTAAGCGTAGGATTCTTGACATCCTGGTATTGGAATTTCAGTTTTTTTAATAGCTAAGGTCTTGGAATGTTTGCAAAACTCCAACCTCTGCACCTGAGTTTTGTCGATTTTTATGGTTTTGTCATAGTTTTGTTTGAATATTTAGATATACAAATACTCCTGTGGATTGGCATTTCTGAATAAATTCACCAACTCTTAACATACAGGTGAAGCTGGAACAGGGCCTCCAGATGCTTACAATCTTGAAGAGCCATGAGGCTAAGACAACAATCCTAGAAGATTTTGACTTCTATGAGCAGCGGGAGAAAGCCTTGCAAGAGAACAGACATCAACAGTAGCCTGCCAGCACCGATCCTCAGGAGCTGCTGGATACCAAGGCTCAAGGTCCCGTGGCTGATATATCAGATGCATTTTCTAAGGCCGTCCAGTTGAAGGATACTGAGAAGAATGGGACAACCCCGAAAGCTGAGGTTCAGGCCGTCCAGTTGAAGGATACTGAGAACAGTTGAATGATTGTTCAATTTTAGTGGGTTTAGGCATAAGAAGCTGCAGAATTATGCTGCGGTAAAGTTGCATTTTCTATGGTTGAATGTTCAAGTCTTCCATTGTCTCCATCCTTATGTAATTTCAGAGATCCTTTCTCTAGTGTATCTTCGTCTTGTTACTCTCAACATGTACAGTTCTGCAGTAGTTCCCTTGGTCACATTGCTTCAAAGCACAACTCATGCTTCAAGCAACTCTTGCACATTATGAATGAAATGAACTCTATAACACATTCAGGTAAAGCCGCTGCAGCAGCAAACCTGAAACCATTTGCAACTGTTACACATCCAGTGGCATTGCAAAATAGATCAAACCTTAAAGCAACATTCAATAGTAATCATGACATTGAAAATAAATAAATAAAAAAGTAATCATGACCTGTTACAGATTTGCTCACCTCACGAGAGGGAAACAAGGCAAAGATGAATTTTTCTGTTAGCACCAAATTTCGACAGGCTACGAGGCAGGAACAAATCCATGCTAGTTACTCATGTTATATATACCATGAAGCATCAAAGCTTCCACATGTTGCCGCATGATGATAAACACACAAACAACGAGCAGCAAGAACACACAAACAGCGAGCAGCAAGAACAAATAGGAGCCCAATGCCTCTATTGCTTGAGAAAAATTTAGACAAAAAAATCATCATCAGAATCTTCTCCTAGAGTACTAAATGGAGGGATGACTCCGTCATTAATGTAAGTGTCATCTAGGTCTTTGTCTTCATCAAACAGGTCATCATGCTTAGGTTCAGGCATGGCTGTTGCAATAGCATGCTCAATAACAGAAGCATCAACAGTAGCCCCATCAAGGCCAGACCTATTCCAAGCTGTGACATCTTCATTTTGTTGTTGAACATTCATATCTTCCATTCCTACAACAACTGAGTCCAGATCGAGCTCGCCCATATTGTCAATGCCTTCTGCTTCAGGCATGGCAAAGAGATTTCTAGGCTGCACTCTAAGGACAGTGCACCAATCTGGTTTCTTTATGTTTCTCGCATAAAAGACTTGCTCGGCTTGTGTGCTCAGGATGTAAGGTTCATCTGAATACCTAAACCGTGTGATATCAATATCGATGACCCCATATTTATCCTTATTGTACCCTCTCGATCTGCTACTACTAGCTGCAGGGACATCAAACCATACACAGTGGAACAACATGACTTCCTTGTCACCATGAAAATCAAGGCAAATGATTTTCTTCAGCACACCATACCAGTCCATGTTTCCTTTATTTGCATCGCCCTTCACGAATACACCACTATTTTGAGTAGTTAAGCAATTCTCTATGGAAGAGACCCGAAAAAGGAAGCCATTTATGAAACACCTGTTGAACACACGAGCCCGAGGGTATGGACCGCGAGATAGATAATAAATTATGTCATCTATTTCCCCTTGTGCACGCAATGTGCTGATCTGCATTTAATCATTTTAAAAATATATTAGGGACTAATAAACCGACAAAGTGGCTAGCTATTATTACGGACTAATAAATTTACAAGAAGCATGTGGAAACTATAGAAATAAAATATGGATAAATATATTAGGGACGACTCACTTTACGCTCAAACCATGATACAAACTCCTCCTTGTGTCTTTTATCAACATGCCTTGAGCTAATTTTCTTCAGCTCATCCATATGCTCACTATCCACAACAATTGAAAATACATTCATTAGTTACATATATATTTTAAACATTCATGACCACCATAAAAAACAATTTAAAATATGGCTTACTTTATCCATGGAGTGACCTCGTCACAGTTGGTTAATATGTAATGCCTCATCCTATGCATTTCAATATCAGAAACTTTCTCGAGAGTACTTCCTTTCCTACTGTAGTCAAGGCTCCCAAATATAATTAGCCTAGATGGTGGTTCACTAGCAGCGGCGCTTTCATGACGCTCTGGACGATTAAGCTTGGTACTAATATTTTCCAAAAAATGAGAGCAAAATGTGAGGCACTCCTCAGATATATACCCCTCTGCAATTGAACTTCAGGGCGCGCTTTGTTCTTCACATAGCCTTTAAGAGTATGAAGGTACCTCTCAACTGGATACATCCATCTATAACAAACCAGGCCTCCAAGTCTAGCTTCGTCAGCAAGATGAACCGGTAAGTGCATCATAATATCAAAAAAAGCCGGTGGAAAAATCATCTCCAGCCGGCAAAGGGTCTCCCTAATCGAAGTGCTCAGTTTTTCAATTTCTAAAAACTCCAACTCCTTTGAACACAGTGAGTTAAAGAACCTACTTAGCTCCATCAATGGGGTCACCACATCTTCAGGCAATATGTTGCGCACCACTAAAGGCAAAAGTTTTTGCAAGATTACGTGTAGGTCATGAGTTTTAAGTCCAGAAAGCTTGCAACCATTGACGTCCACACATCTCCGAATATTTGCAGCATAACCATCAGGGAACTTGACGCCATGTAAAAATTTGCATAGAATTTCCTTGTCATCCTTACCTAGAGAGTACAGCGCTGGTGGCAAGGTGTACTTACCCTTTTCGAGCACTGGATGTTGATATGGCCTTATACCCAAATGTTGCATATCAAGTTGAGCCTTCTCACTATCCTTGCATTTACCTTGTAACTCCAACAAAGTCCCTAGTAAGCTCTCACATATGTTCTTCTCTATATGCATGACATCCAAATTATGTCAAACTAGCAATGATTTCCAGTAAGGAAGCTGAAAGAAAATACTCTTCTTCCTCCAGTTGTGCCACCTATTTTCTTCGTCATGTTGCTTACTTTTCCTTGTATCCTTTCCAAAAGTCGCTTGCTGGAAACTTTCATAGTCCCGCAGCACCTGCTCACCACTGAGTGGCACTGGAGCTTCCCTAGTTTCAGCCTTGTTATTGAAGCTCGTCTTGTTCCTTCGCCACTTATGGTTCATGGGCAGAAATCGGCGATGTCCCAAGTAGCAATGCTTTGAGCCATGTTTTAACCACAAGTAATCAGTATGCTTGTGACAATAAGGACAAGCAAACTTACCTTTTGTGCTCCAACCAGATAACATCGCATATGCGGGAAAATCATTAATTGTCCACAGCAGAATTGCATGTAGAGTAAAATTCTTCTTCTCCTTCTCATCCCATGTTAAAACTCCATTAACCCATAGATCATGTAGCTCATCGATCAGAGGTTGCAAATATACATCAATGTTCACTCCAGGAGATTTAGGCCTAGGTATCAACATCGACATCATCCAATAAGGTTGTTTCAAACATAGCCAAGGAGGCAGGTTATAAGGAATCAGTATCACGAGCCAACAAGTGTAATTAACATTCAACATCCCAAATGGATTGAAGCCATCAGATGTGTGACAGAACCGCCCAATTTATACAAGATCAAGTGTGGCTGTCCCCGCTAACACGTTGACACGCGCATACTTTCACTTATATAAACCCGGTAGTCCGCCGAGTGTCACGCATGACCTCGGTAAATCAGCATCACAACCAAGATCGCGTGATTAAGCAAATACACATCACATACGTAGAGTTGCAGCGGAAATAATATTACAAATGGTTTCACAAATAATAGTATAAGTTTGGGTTTCAAAACCGATTAGTGAAAACAACATTTGCTTTCAAAGGATTACATTGATATAAGTTCCAAATACATTGCTAGCATAAGTGACATCCTCAGACAAAAGCATGTAGATGAGAAGTAAATATAGAGTCACCGAGCCCACCGATGGTTAACCACCATCTTTAGTAGGCCAAAACCTCACCTGCAATATGGTGGGATAAACCCTGAGTACTCGAATGTACTCAGCTAGACTTACCCGTCATAAACCAGAAATAAAATTGACTCCAAGGAGTATGCAAGGCTTTATAAGTGGAGGTAGCTTGACAACATTTTGCATAAAAAGCGATTAACTCAATTATACAATTATAATTCTGTCATCAAGTTAATTAGAACTATCCATCTCTAGATTAGCAACTATCCTGTGCCAAACATGTGGTATATCTTTTTAGAGCATACAATAGTAACCATAGCAGGTATAGTAATTCCATGTTTATCTGAACCATCACATTCCATAATCCAATTACTACGATGTTGGGACTAGCCAAGTTTCTCACTATCCGGGAGAGACGGCGATTCGAATCGATTTCAACCAGCTGGGAATTTAATTGCTAACACAAACCCAGGCAGACCAGATCAACGGTCACCTTAGGTCACCTTTGGTACAACTCAGGTACACATTTCGCGGGTCCGTACTGTGCCGCACAGTCTGGGACACCAGATGCCAGGACGTTCAGGCCTAGCCTGCCCTTGGGCTCAGTCTGATCGCCCCCCGTAAGGAGCGCACAACAGAATGGGTCCTGGCCTGAGTTAAATTACTCGGCTTCGCGGTCAGAACGAGTTATCCGGCCAGCTAAGTGAGAGGCATGCGTTCAATCTTGTCAGAAGCGCCAACAACGGTACGGTCCTTAATCGACACAGATGGAATCACATGAGTCAACCTACACATAGACTCCGCCCGGCCTCGATTTACTTTTACCCCATGGTTCTTTTCCACGATAGCAAATATAGCCAACCGTGCTTCGGTATCCACCTATATCTCGCAGGTGATAGGAAATCACCTGACTTCTACCGGTCTAAGCATGGCTAAGCATATATTCGATCCTGGACCTATACCGGTTAAAGGTGTAATATCTGGACAAGGAATGTATATGCATCAAGTGGTTCCATTCAACTCTTATAACCTAATGCATCAATCATAAGTACTTAAGTAATCATTTGTAAAATACTGGGAGACTTAGAATGCTCCGGGGCTTGCCTG